GAACAAAAAACCAGAGTCATTATAGCTAAATGGATGCATATTGAGGCCATACTCTTAAGTGAAATAAATAGGACACACATATGTAAATACTGAATAGTTTCTCTAGTGTGAGAAACTGATAGTGTAAACAAGGGTTAAAATCATTAAAATTAATAATTGATAATTTGAAATAGGAAAAAAGGTAGAAAGACGAAGGGGTGAAGGGAGGGGAAGGGGAAAGGAAAACAGGAAAGGAAAAACTATGAGAAAAGAAAAAAAAATGGAAATGATGTCTATGTAAATAGGGAAGGATGGAGGGGGTGAAGGGTGCACAGGTAATGGGGAAAAAGTAAGAACCAAGATTCATCATGTACAGGTACAAACACCTAATGATAAATGTAAACTAATTGTATACCTAAAACGTACCAATAAAAGAACAACAAAAAAACCCCAGAGTAGCAGGGGAAAGACAGCACTGGCTGATGCCATGTCCAGGCTCAACTGCTCATTTCCTCAACCTCAAGGGATAGCCTCTGGAATATTCCTTTTCTTTGGAATATTCTAGAAGGAATGCCACCCATGCAAGCACAACCAACAGGCACCTACACAAACAGGAAATGGCAAGAGAACTATTACAAGGGGGTGAACAGATTCTATCTTAAATCGACCTACCTACACAATTGCCTTACTCTATCAAAAGCCATGCCAGACACAAAAACTTAAGGGGATGATGGTCAAAAATTGAGAGACCAAAGCAGTTGAATGACTGACACAGCAACAATACTATGCTGAGCTGAGCGGAAATGCTGGGGGCCCTCAAATACGAGCTTGATGGGAGTCGGAGGAGGGGGCACAGAAGGATGAACCTGGCTGCATGGACAGAACAGCAAGGCTCCAACAAATTTACTGAGTTTCTTTATTAAGTTTCTTTTGTGTTTCCCAAGGTTTTTTGGGTTTTTTTGGTACCGAGGATCAAACTCGGGACCTTGCGCTTGCAAGGAGGCACGAGAACCACTGAGCTAAATCCCCAGCCCAAGTTTTTGTTTTTTATGTCTAATACTTTTCCATACAACACTACAAGGTTAAACTGCCAACTACTGGTTGTTGGGATTAGGAATCCTTATAAAATCTTAATGGCTAACAGCCCTGATTACTACCTCTAGGCACTTCTTCAGCATGGAGAGGGAAAGCTCTGAAGCCTATACTTTCCCTAGAAAGGAAGTCTCTGAGTTAATAACATTTGCATTAATTTTGGAGGGTCACCTATTCACAGAAAGGGAGACTAGAGAAGTAAGAATGGATACTAGGTCACTTCCTGGTTTCTTTTCAGTAAGAATTTGTAATTTTAACTGAAATAAATGCAGAGGCTATTTGGTACTTCTGTATTCAAAGATAAATGCAAGGAGAAGGCATGTGAGTGACTTCTCGATTACCTGCAGTTGGAGATTGTCTACATTTCGCCTACTAATCAAAATAAGAGAGGACCCTACCAGAGTTTTCTCAAAATGAAGAATAAAAACCACAATAAACATCAGTGGGGGAAAATATTTAAAAGAAAAGAAAATTTCTGTATTTTGGAGTGACATATTATCTGATATATAAAATACATAGTCATGCCCCACTATAAACTCTTTTTTCAAAACCAGAGTTCTTCACAGAAACATGAGTTTAAAGAATTAATCATCATGCCGTGTATTGCACAAAGTAAGCCGCTCTTTTCTGCTTGAGAATAAGAACAACATGGCACATATGCAGATGCATGCCTTGCCTCCTCAGTGCAAGGGTGGAGTCACTTGTATAAATATTTAAAGTCAGACCTTTGCATTCATAACGAAGCCGCACACCACTTTACAAAATAAGGTACTAATAAATTTAGATGTACAACAAATAGGGCTCTGTTCAGAATACTAATTGCTGCTGTTGATATTCTAAACCTAAAAATTATAATGATATCATTCAGATTCCATCTGAACACATATAACACATATTCAGAAATTTTAACAGGTCTTGATAAAGTCCGACTGGTGAAATTTTCAAATTGCTAGACCAGCTTTGTAACTGAGGCATAGGTGAGCTTCCTGTGTGGCATGTTTTTTCTGCTCTTGTTTTAGTGATGCACCTTCAGCTACTCCTGGAAAGAAAGGAGTGAAGTCAGAAGCATCTCCAGCCTGCAGGCTAATGACTTGGTGTCCCTGGGGAGCCTGCCCAGGAGGTGCTGAACAGCTATGTGGTGGAGAAGGCTGCAGGTGTGGACTGGTAACATCACAATGAGGAGCTCCCTGGACACAGTCATCTGCCACCTTAGTTTATGCGACCTAGGCATGGGCACTATGTTCTTCTGTCTGACCTCTGCTCCAGCAGGCAGCAATGGAATACACTTGCTCTTCATGAAGGCCATAAACCGCTCACCTAGAATGTCCTGATTATACAAGACTGCACCCTTCATTGGGAGATATCAGGCATCTGTCACCTTACCTGTGACTGGCACCTTTGCACTCATGCTTTCTTGTTTGCTTTCATCGTCACAGCCACTTGAAACTTCTGAAAAGCAAACACATGGTAACAAAAACGTATTCCTTTGTTATCTGCAAATTTGGATGGGACAAGTAAGCCACAAATGCTGGGCACATAAACCAACTAACTTCTCAATACTTTCTGTGAGCAACTCACAGCTGTCCTGGAAGTTACAGGGCAGGGACCAGCCCAGGCTGTGAGAAACACACAGAAGACTGGCATGTCTAGCAATAATGCTAAAATATGATTCCTGGATACTAAAATGGAATATTGAATTTTGGGGCATAAATTCATTATTTAGACTTTGATAAGGTTCCATTAAAATTAAAAAGCACATATAAAATTATAGGTAAATTCTATTAAGTAATATAAAAAACTTCACAGCACAATATGGAATCATTTTAATGGAATTATCTTCAAATTGTGGGGTCAAAATGATCTCCTGCCAAGTGATTAGGTTTAAGTTGCATAATTTAAACACCTATTTCATTAGAAATTGAACAGAAGTATAGACCTACTATTAGGTTTCTCATTCCTGCAGCCAGCGGTATTTAGAGGTGTGCTGTGAGACCAGATGTCACCTTGACTCTGAAAGCCTTTTTGCTGTGGACACTCTCTAAGAGCAGTTACCTTGGTCCCTTGTGTGAAGACTGCTGAGCCAGAATTTGGGTTTTTCTCTCTTTATCCCAGCATTATCGTGGAGAAGAGATAGCGAGCTGCATGATTCATCACTGTGAACAGCCAAGCTGGCCTCACACTCCTCTCTGAGAGCTTTTTTCAATCCTGCTGCTGCCTACAGTGTTTCAAAGAAAGTACAAAGAAACCAAAACAAATCATAAGCACATTCCCCTTCGTCTCAATGATCCAGACTTTAAATATAATTTTAAGTTAAGATTTGCTTAAGATTTAGTTTGCTTCCAATTCTAATTTTGTTAACCAAAATTAAAATGTCAAGATAAATAGCATCTGGTCATTTTGCAGCATAATTTAATTCTTTATAACACTTTACACTCATAAAAACATATTTTTTAGGACTGAACTTAGGGAATGTAGGTGTTCTATTTGTGAAGCATGTATGTATGGTGATCGGCTGCGTTGATCTAGGTTGCTTTATCCTCCCTTCAATACACATAGAAGTCAGGCCCCATTTTCTGAAGGAAAATGAATCCTATTTTCCAGGTGTATAACATAGAGTTGGTTGGGACCAAGAAAGAAATCTGGGAAAAATGTCTAGAAATGACCTCTGAGCCTCCCTCAAAAGGGAAAACTGCAAAAAACTTGGTGGCTGAGGAGGACTGGGCAAAACCACTGCTACTTTGTTTTTAAACCCTACTCTTCAGTCAAGGATTAAGGTAGTTCTCAGGGAATTGGGGACACTCGCCTACCACACTGCCTATCTTTTTCATAGGGCACCAGATTGGACTGTCCTAACCTATACAGGGGACAGATTCATCACAGCCAACTTGAGAGGTAAGGAAAAAAGTTATCAATTCTCAGATCAGGTGAGTACCCATGTCTTTCAACTTCCAGGTCATAAAAACAGGCAGAAAATGAGGGTTAAGCATTTAGCAGACAACCACCAACCATGCTGTCCCAATGCCAGAGTGTGTGTCTTCCTCTTGATTCCAGTTCAGAAGTGGAGCTGGAGAGGACACCTCAGTGACAGTTGGAGGGATCTTCCACCGCTATTGACAATGGTGGCACATATAGGGCAGCAACCAGCCCACCCTGTGAGAAATGCACAAGAGACTTCACAGGTAAAGCCTCAGAGGCAGCCTTCAATCCATGATTGAATAATCCAGTGGCCAGGGAGAAGCCACTTGCCTGTGATCCACGTGAGAGAGGGTGGACATACTCTGAGGAAGAATCACTGAGGCAGAGCACAGGAGACCTGGCTTTGTAGCTCCTTCAGCCTTGACCTCCTGCAAGGCACTTGCCCTCTGCCCTTCCTAAGACTGACACCCTGTGGGACCTGTGGTACTAGAAGAGGGAACAGCTGGTTTAGTGAGGGTGGTGGGGGTTAGAGTTCTAAACCTTGGCCAAAGGATTGGTATCAAGTTAGCCTTTCAGCCAAGGCCTCTTGTAGCCTAGGGGTGAGGACTCTGTTGAGAAAACCTCCTGCATATCCCCATTCCTGCAAACTGGACTTGCACACAGGGGCCAACTCTTGGAGCCCAAGCCAAGGCTGGCTCCCACCACGGTTCTTATTTAGCCCACCCTGCTGCTCACACACACCCGTGCACTGTGCCTACTTCTGAACTCTGCCCAGGGAGAGAGAATAATGTAGACAAGACCTCCTTAAAACGCCAACCTTCAACTGCCAGTGTGCTCTCTGCACTGTCCTGGGGGAGTGCTGTCTCTATCCATCATGGTCCAGTCTATGTCCAATAATCCTGGGTCTATGAAAAGCATTTTATAATATGAACAAAAAGAACCTAAATCCCATAGTGAAAGCTGTAATTTTCGTTTTCTGAAGTTTAACACTAATTCACATATCCTGAGAGACCTTTAAATATGTACTTCTAAATTGTATCACCTTAAACAATGTAACTAGTGGGGCTGGGGATTTAGCTCAGTGGTGCTGTGCCTGCCTTGAAAGCAGAAGGTCCTGAGTTTGATCCTCAGTATGGAAAACAAAAAAAACCAAAACAATGTAACTAGTAATTTCTTGACATGACCTGTAAGTCACCATTTTAACAACTTTTTAAAGAATAAAACTGTTAAAAGACTGAAGTTTTTTATACTTTCTACTGCAGATTTACAATAATTTAAAGATTCATAGGTCTGTATGAAATTTAAAACAACTTTCCTCCTCTGAATGCTGAAACTTTTCAGTACTATCAGTGACACACATCACATCTCTCTAGTCCCCTGTACAAGTTAACCAGGATCAAAATGGAGTCACTTATGCCAAGGTAACAAGTCAGAGCCAGGGGGCCATGAAGGAAGAGCAACAGTCCATGAGAGCTGCCTGCATAAGCCCTTTCCTAACAATGCCCCCGAGCCAAGAGAAAGCCCTACAACAACCTCCTGTAATGAAGGTCTCTGTTTCAAGGTACCTTGCCTGGACTCCTTTTGTTAATGTTCCTCTACTCCTAAAGCTTCCCCTTTGGTGCAACCCCTTGGATGCTCCTATGGTCCACCAAGCACATATGTCCAGCACTGCAAGTCACTGCTAGTCCCATATAAACTCTTAGCTTGGGACACCTGGTCTCAGTTTCTCATTTTAGGTTAATACTCTCAATGATGACAATTAAATTTCTTGCTGCGTTGTACATCCATTTTCTATCAGATCCACGTTTACTTGAGTTGAATTTGAACTGGGATTCACAGAATGAAGAACACAGAATACAATGCTACAATAATCCTGCAACTTCCCACCACTGCCCTTCGTTCTGTGCTGAGCGCTCTTTTCCACTGTGAGGGGAGTAATGTGGTGAGCAGATTGCTCCATCAGTTTCATTTCTTTTGTACATTTTGCCCCATATACCTTCACTACTCAATACTTCTCTTTACTTTTTGATAGATTTCTTTCTCTTTTGATAGAAACATTTATAAAAGAACTCATCTCTTATGATAATTCTACAGGCAATTTTTCAAAGATGAGTTATATATATATATATATGAAAGTGTGGCAGATGGTCAAATTGCAACATGAGAATGGTTGGCTCAACTCTCCTGGACCATGAAGCCCAGAGAGAGAGCAGTGGATCTGCTCAGGAAGCTCTCTGCAAAGGAATCCACAATATATGTCCCCAGAAAGCAGCAGACAATGGACACATGGAACAAAAACAAATGTCAGCCTCACACAAGGACCAGTCATAATATTTTAGTCAAAAATCACTTCTGCAGAGTCAGGAAAAGCATCAGTGACACATTCTCAGAATGCACTGTTTGCAGATGTTCCAGAACTGTGTGTTTCTAAGGAAGCTCTGAGCTGAAGAGACTTATCCAAGGGTATGGGCACTAACTCTACCTGCAAAGGGTAGAGAAGACTTAACAAGCTCCTTTACACATCACATGCTGCAAACCAGAGCTCAGCCTCTGAAAAATACCTCCAGGTGCCAGCTTTCAGTAGGCTTTGGATAGTGCTTGTGAATGGACCATGCCTAGTCTCAACTTGTCTGTTAGGAATAAAGGTTCTCTTGGAACCACATACATCTGGAGCTCAGGAAGGCAAATGAGAATGTTTCACTGATCTCAGAAGTGTGAAACCCCATCAAGACCAACAAAGAACTACTCCTGTTCTACCATTCCAGGACCAAGAAACAAGACATGGGAGTAGCTGTCAGGACACACAATGTTTGCAGAATGGCTGAGGTTGGCACCACCATACTTCACACCTAATGGCAGGTCAGCCACTCTATGAATTATACTTAGTAGGGTGGGGGATTTAGCTCAATGGTTACGCCGCCTGTCTCAAAAGTGCAAGGACTGGAGTTGAATCCTTGGTACAAAAAAAAAAAGAAAAAAGAATTATACTTAGTAGTATTCCTAGAATCATGGCATCAATTCTATTAGAATTTCCCTCACAGTTCAGTTTAAATATGGATCCTGTCACATTTAGAACCATAAGTGACATCTAGGCTGTTAATTTATATCCAGACACTTATCAATTATGATATTTAAATGCACAGACAAATGAAGCTATTAGTGGGAAAGATACTGTGCCTAAAACACTATTAAGAAAAATGAAAGACAAAGATCAAGCTGTCAAAAATACGGTAACAAAACGTATAAATTTGAAAAGTTCTTATAAATCAATAAAAAACCTATTACTTATCTAATAGAACTGGTAAATCATGAAAGAATACAAATGGCTCACAAATAGGTAGGAAACAAGTTTGACCTAAATTGTAACAAAAAGGCCAAATGAACAAAAAAGATTGGATGTCATTTTCAACTCTCAAATTGGTTTTTAAAAAGTCAATAGTATTTAGTTTTATAAAAAACTCAGAGAAATGCCATTTTCATCCATTACTACTAACTCTGATGACCCTTGCAGGGTGAGATTTGGTGGTACATAACAAAAACTTGAAAGATGTAGATACCTTTTGACCTAATAATTCTGTACCTGGGAACTCATTCTGAGGAAATATCATGGATATCTGGAAAAACTGAATTACATGGGGTTTGTTTCTAAAAGTATCTTACTGGAGGAAAGGGAGAATAAATTTAAATGTCTGACAGGCAGCTGAAGCAAGAGTGCATAAATCCACTGGAAGTGAGGTAGGGATACAGGCAACGGCAGGGAAGGAAACTCTTTGGTATAAAGGGGGAAGGGGAGGCTATGCACACAAGTAGTGCAATGCATGTTTGTCAACAGACAAATATTAGGGCCACATGCTTCAGTGTCAACAGGGTGATACATGGACAGCAGGATAAGAGGCAGTTTTCTGTCTATTCATCTTGATAATTCAGTTTTTCTTTTCTCCCTGTTTATTTTTTAAAGAAAACACAGGCTATGGCTAAAGGAATTTGATTTCTGCAATGGTGGTACAAATACAAAGAGACACTGAATATAAAAGCATTTGGTAAAATCGAATTCCTTTCTATATGTAAAGCAGTGCTACTACCACAGTGATGGAAAAGGAAGAGAATTAAAAACCATGGCAAGGGCCGGGGATTTAGCTCAGTGGTTTCGCCACCTGCTGCACAAGCGCAAGGACCCGAGTTCAATCCCCGGTACCAAAAAAAAAAAAAAAAAAAAAAAAATTAACACTTCTAAAAAAACCATGGCAGCCGAGAGCAGATGATGTCTTCCTCTCACACAGATTTAACTACTTCTTCCTCAAGAACCTCTTCTTGGACACTGCAAATGATTTCTCAGTGTTTAAGTTGAACATGAGCATCATCACTTAAGTTACGTCTAAGTGAAGGAGAGGAATGGATTTTATCCACAAAGTAATTAAATGAAAGAAGAAAATGTTGTTATGAGCTAGCAAATCAGTATTCAGAAACTAGTAAGTAAGACAGCTGATCATTAGAGGACAGCCTTCCTGGTGAACAAAACCAGTGTGCTTGTGGCGGGTCCACAGGCCCTGGTCCACTCTGAGTGACATTAGCAGGCTGCTCGCTGTGTCCAAGTTCTGCTGGGTGGAAACAGATAGCACTTGGGAGAAAGGGAATATGAAGCCACTTTGTATTTTAACAAACACCCAACTAATTTTTTTCACATAAGGTAATTATAAATTTTTCTGAATTAAAAGCATGTGGCTCAGTTATGTAATTGCCTAACAGGTTATGTGGGCGCTGCTGGCTCTCATCTGGTCTCCAGGGGATGCAATCTGAGTTTCGGCAGCTTTGATGATGAGTTTACTCAAGAGAACCAGTTGACAGCACCAGCACCAGGACCCACAGGTAAACATCATCTACATGTGGCTGTTTAATTAGCCATTTACCCAAGAGATCAAAGTAAATATTTCTGAGCTTCATTAGAATCTGAACCAATGAATTCATAAGAGATTTCTTAAATTCTGAAAATCACTTACTTTTAAGAGTTTATCAAAGGAGAGATAGGTAACCCGCAGTCTTTACTAAATGTGTATATCATTTCAATACACAGAAACAACTCAAAGACACTTTATTTTGCTAACTATATAATACAAGGATGATGTGGGCTATGGCTGCTACTCAGTAGCAGAGCTTGTGCTTAGCATGTGTGAGATCCTGGGTTCAATCCCTAGGAATACACACAAGCACACACATGTACACACACACACACACACACACGAGATAGTGGTTTTAGAACCCACAAATGCTTTTGGTCCTGAAGTATACACAGCTGCCTCTGCCTATTTCATTTTGCTAACACTATGTTTTGTGCCTGTGTTTTCTTCAGCCTCACCTAAATGGGTGAGAAACCACGTTTGCTTCCATTTTTAAGCACAGATTTTGCCACTAGTACTGCTAATTTCTACTACTGTCATTAAAGTGAGATCATGATAATTAAAAAATCTACTGGGGGAGGCCGCATATCATTTGACTCATTAGTTATTCATTGGGCAGCTCTCCTCCTGACTAAAACTGGAGGTATTATTTGAGAAACTAAGAGTAGATTGGTTGTTTGGAACTTGGAACATGTTTTCTAAATTACAAATACCCTTAAGGGAAAAACAGATGATCAGGTAGCAAATGGCAGTCAACCAACACTTATTTCCTCCTTCACATGGCTGAGATGTGGTGTACTTGGAACAAGAATAGAAAAGAATGTTTCATAATAGTGCTAAAAAAAAAGGGACAATAAAACCTGAAGGAATCACCTTAAGATCTACATTAGTCTTCAAAGATGCAACAGATCTAAAAAAACACAGGTTCTTTCTTCTTAAAGCACATTATTTGAAAATGGTCCTGTATCTTGAACAAAACACAATGATGGGTTATTTGAGTCACACATTATGCGACAAAATGAAAATGCTCGGAAGAATGGCCCCAAGCCTATCTTTGAAAAGGGGCTGGGATCTGTGAGAGGCACAGGGGCTACAATCTATGTCTTCAATAATTCCTTTCTTCCACCTTGCATATGCCTTCTTCTGGGAACGGGAAGTACTATGATGAGAACTCTCCTGAATGTGGACTGCTGGTTCCTCTCCTGGGCTTCCCTTGGGCATTTGCCCACTGTTTCTTCTCCTGTTCACATGTTTGAACTCTCCTTCTACACCAGCTCCTCAGTCAGGCTGCTCTTTCCCCTTGCCCAATCTATGGCTGGGCTGCCTCCTCCCAAACCCCATAGATGACATTTCCTACGGATTACACAACTCATGTCCAGTAACTATCCAAAACATGCTAGACTAAACAGTGTCCCCAGCCTAGGGCCAGCATGCTGCCCAGCAAGGCCCAAGACTACCTCTGGGCTCTTTCCTACCAAATGAACTTGAACTCATCCTGCTGCCTCAAGCATGGCTCTGTTGTCTGGATATGTACTGTTTTTCCCAGCCTGCTTTCTGGCTCTTAACTGCCCATCCCTGTTGCCCCAGTGGGCCCCTAACTCTTACCCTGTCAAATATCTGTGCCCAAGGGCTCCTCACACATTCCTGTGCTGCTTCCAACCCTAACACCTGCCTCACCGCTTCTCCAGGTGGCCTGGGCCCCTTTTCTGAGGACTCATGTTCTTTGTTGTTCTTTTATAACCATCCTGCTGTGTCATCCCCAGGGAAATGGGACCACATTTTAGTTACAGTGATACCTCAATACTTATTATTAATTGGTTCCAGGAGACATGATGAGTACAAAAATGACAAGTACCAAACAAATTGTTTTGGCTGGAATGGGGAGCAAGTCTTGAGCCAATCAATATCTATAAGTTCTAACTTCTGTGTCAAGTACCAAACAAAGGACAAGTACCAGAACAAAACTGTCACATCAAAATTCATCGAGTACCAAGATAATGAGTTTTAAAGAAGCTGAGTACCAGGAATTTCTTTCCTTCAAATAGATCTGGGCTAGTATCTGTGTAGGGAGCTTATCAGACAATGATATGATCCCTGTTCAGAAGTGGAGCTGGAGAGGAGAACTCTGTGACAGTAGGGGGATTTTCCACTGCTATTGACAATAGTGGCACATATGGGACAGCAACCAGCCCACCCTGTGAGAAATGCACAAGAGACTTTATTGGTAAAGCCTCAGAGGCAGCCTTCAATCCATGATTGTCTGAATGACCCAGTGGCCAGGGAGAAGAAACTCCTTGCCTGTGATCCACATGAGAGAGGGTGAACATGCTCTGAGGAAGAATCAGGGGCAATGGATGGATATATATATATATTTGGTAATGGATGGATATATATTTGAAATAACATGAATGACCTCACAGCATTTTGCAGTACTGTATGGAGTGGACAGAACACCATATACTTCCAAGCTCCCCAGAAAATGCTGTGGTAGGTTCATTTAATCAGGTCATTGACATTATGTCAAGATTCCCACACAAAACATTAGGCAAAAGGCCTAAGATTAGAAAGTTAGAAACACACCAACCAATCCCAAACTCTTATTTATTCCTTTTCTCATCATTTTTTCAAATATGATAATCATTTTTGAAACATTATTTCCTCAACTGAATAACTTTTAATCTTTAAATTTATTCTTTTAAAAAATAAAAATTTCTGACCTTTGACTCCTGTTCCATACTTTGGACTGAACACAGAGAGCTGAGCCACCTACCTCTTGGTGGAGAGACTGGCCGAATTCTTTCAGGCTGGCAGCAGGCTGACCAGATGGTATGCTCAGGAAGCCTGGGTCTGGTGCCTGTTCAGATCTGTGAGACAGGAATAGACGTGCCACATGTTTACAGTACTAAGTGATTTACAACAGTCCAATATTTCTAAGGACTTATAGCCAAGTTCGAATAAGAAAGCTTATCCAGAGAAGCCTGCAACCTACCATATCCTGGACTAAAGAAAATTTGAGCCCAAATATCATTTTTTTTAAGCTTTTAGATTTTTTTGGTAGTAATTTCATTACTAAATGAGCAGTCTTAGCTTTGGTTGCACACAGAACCCTCTGGGGAGCTTTGGAACACCTGGGTGCCTAACCCTCCCTGAAGAGGTTCATGGAATACGGCCCAGTACTGGTGCATTCTCAAGATGCACAGTGAGTCTCAAGTGCAGCTGTGCACCTGGGAAGCATGGCACATGTAGTCAGCCTCCTAAACTTAAGAAAAAAAAATTACATCTTCATCTCAAATACAGGACTTTTATTACTCTTTTACTATGATCTACCTGTAATTTTTAAAAATTAAGATACTATCAGGAAAGAGTTGAAAAGTAAGTTTGGATTGCTGTGCAGACTCTGATATTTATTATACCCAAAGGAACCATTTCCTGATTACAGAAAATGTACAAGATGAGCCTGGAACATTCACTGAACATGAAAAGAAGGACATTCTCCTAAATTACTGATTCCTATCAAATAGACTTTGAGCTTATCTTAAAGTGACTCCTAATGGTCAAAGATGGGTCGATTTGAGCAGCAAAATAACAATAATGATGATAACTGCAAGGGGCTAAAACACAGCTTATTCATAAAAAATTCATGAGTTCATTTAAAACAAATAAAATACAACTTAAAAAATAAAAACCTTGGGCTGGGGATTTAGCTCAGTGGTTCCACCACCTGTCTCGCAAGCGCAAGAGCCCAAGTTTGATCCCCAGTACCAAAATAAAATAAAATAAAAACCTTTACACACAGCCTTAAAAAGGAAAGAAACCTTAACTCTTATTATAACATGGATGAATCTTGATGATGTTATGCTATGTGAAATAAGCCAAAAACAAAAAAGAAAATACCGTATGATTGGACATCAATGATGTGCCCAGATATGCAGACAGAAAGGGAAAGGGGATCTGAGGTGAAGGAGAAATAGAAAGATGTTAAATGGACAAAATTTCAGTTTGGTAAAATGAAAAGGTTAATGAGATCTGCTGAACAACAATGTGAATATACTTAATACTAGTGAACTGCACAGTTAACAATGGTTAAGATGGTGGTGACTGAGGCAGGAGGATGAAAGTTTGAGTCCAGTCTGTGCAACTTAGTTTCTTAGTGAGTCCCTGTCTCAAAATAAGAAATAAAAAAGGGCTGTGGATGTAGCTCATTGTGAAAGCCTTGGGTTCAATCTCCAGTACCACACCACCACCACCACCACCACCACACACACACACACACACACACACACACACACACACACACACATACACACACACACACACGCAATGTTAAGATGGTAAATTTTATTAAGGTAAAACTTTTGGAAGCTATTATTCTGAAAACTGGTCTGTCAAGGGATTAAATCAAGCATTCATCCTGACTATGTAGTTCAAACAAAACAAAACAAAACAAAATAAGACAAAAACAAAAAAACACTTGTATTTCAGAGTTACAAGCAGCTGATGAGTAAAAGTTCCTCCAATAAGTGCAGAAGAATAGTCAAGCTGGGAAAGCCAGATTAATGAGTAGATCTAGAAAATGATCCCATTTGTAAAAACTGCATAATGGAACACCTTACAAAGGAGGCACTGGTCTCCAAGGCATCAACCTATGGGCTGATGAGCCATGTGCTGTCTTGAGCAGATGCCAGCAGACATCAGCACCACTGTGACATTCAGCTGCCAAAAACATGGCCTGATGTCCTGTAATAAATGTATTCTCTTGCCAAAACCCTGACTCCAACAGAGGAGGAAGGACATCCGCAGCTGAACCCAAGGCCAGGGGAACCCGGCTCCAAGCCTCTATGTTTGGAAACCCCTGCCCCCTGCCTGTTCTCTAGCCCCTTTCCTGAGAGGGCGGAGCAGGTTCCGGATCAGGGAGCAAATCCAGGCACAACAGCTTCAGTCCCAAGCAACACTAGTGTTAAGCAGGGCCTGTGGCTGATGCTGGGTTGTGGGGAAAGAGGGGGAGGTTGCTACAGGCTCCAGGGGCAGGGATTGACAGGGGGAGGGAAATACATGACCCTTAGTGAGGGCAGATGTGAGGCTGGGCTGATTAGGGAGGAGTCCCCAGCAGAATTGTCACAGGGTTGCCTCAGACCCTCGGAGTCACATTTGCTTCTTTTCTGAAGGTTGAGAGTGCTGGAGAGAAGATCCTGAAAATGTGATCAAGTGAAATACATCTCCTGAGTGGTCATCTGCCAGTGGACCACCTGCTGTCCATTCCTAGGCTCCAGCCAGCCGTTTAGACTGGTGCTGTCCTGCCTGGATCCCCTCTGCTTCCCCAGATGAAGTGAGGGGTCAGCGTGATCACTTGAGGCCCACCATGAGCCCACACAGACTCCTGGGGCGGCTTTGCCTCTCCTGACCATATCAGCCCATTCCTCTAGTGCTACCCAGTGGTCCTTGTCATCCCAGGGCCCAGTTACTGCCAGGAAGCTACTCTGACTTCAACATCTCATGCCCTTTTGCTCCCATTGTGTGATTTTATTAACATGTCAGGCCATTTCCTCTTGGTGCCAACTGAAGTAATCTTTCACTTAGATTCCTAAATGCTTGAACAAAAGTCTGAACAAAGAGGGGAATTTCTATCTGCTGTTTTGGTTGTGTGTGATCAAATAATCCTCAGAACCCTAACAGCAACCTTGTTGTTGTAAGGATCCTGCCACTGAAATGTGTTGAAACTCACACTTTGGGAACTATTCGTGTATCCTCTATTTTAAAAAAGCATTAAATTATTTTTATTATGTCTTTTGATAACTTATCTTCCAATATTAAAATAAAGATATTTATTTTGAAACAATAACAACAAAAAAAAGTGGCCTGGAACAGCACCACACATCTGGACCTAACCAGCAGGTTACAGTACCAAGCCAGAGAGAGGAACTAGTCAAATAACACCATGCAGGTACAACCAGACAAATCCAGCATGAGAATGCTCTGTGCAGGTGCTCCAATTCCTTCAACAAATCAATGGTATGAAGAAATGCAGGGCAGGAATGCTGTAAAACTAAGAGATTTTAGGAGACCCACTGACTAACTGTAATATGTAGACCTTGTTTAGATCCTGATTCAAACAAAACAAATGTAAAAAGAAATGGATTAGGTATTAGATAAACTAATATCTAATTAGATAATATCTAAAACATTCTGTTAAAAGATATTATATTAAATCCTTATATGTTAGAGATACAAGGACTTGTAAGCAAAATGGTATGATGTCTGTTTTAAACTACCCAAGAAAGGGCTGGAGGTTTATCTCAGTGGCACCAGCACCTGCCTGGCAAGTTCAAGGTCCTGAGATCAATCCCCGGTTCCACACAAAAAGTTAAAAAATAAACTACCCAAGAAAAGTGTATGGGTTGAGGGAAAGAGATAAAACAAGAATGGCAAAATGTGGGCAGCTGGTGGGTCTGAGTGACAGGCATGTGGGGATTCAAAGGTTTGAAAATCTTCAAAATAAAAAAGAACTTGAAAGTAAAAGGTTGAAAAAAGAGCATTAACGTCTGCCATTTTGAAACCTACAATAAGAGATGGAGGATAATAGACAGACACATACAGAGGGCCGTGAAACAACCACGGGGATATCTCGTGGGCAGTAGATGTTCATGGTATGGTTTCTTTTGCTCTTCTTCATGTTTGGCATTTTTCACAATAAAATGTTTGGAAGAGCTGAGGGTGCAGCTGAGTGGTAGGGGACTTACCTAGCATACAGATCCCCAGCAGCATTCAAGCAAACAAAAACAAAAAACATTAAATGTTTGGGGGAAAAGTAAGCCTAGATGCAATTCAGAATCTTCTTCAATAAACCTTAATTTCTATATTTGCTTGAAATATAGAAATCTTAGTTTTTCCCAAGATCTGAATAAAGTGGTTGAGTCACTGGAGTCCCTTACCTTATTCAAAAGCTTCTAAGGATGAGTCTAAGACTTCCAACTCCCTTGATAAAAACCCCTGTAGCAACCTGCCTTTCTTGCTTCCTGCTATTCTGCAGGAATAGTGATGTCAAAACCAACACTCAGGTCCTCTGTTCTGACTCTTTATCCACTACTTGAAGTCTCACTAGATCTCCCTACAGGAAAACACCCTGGCTGTTTCCCAGCAAATTCTAATCGGTTCGGGGGGTTTATTTCCTTAGTCGATATATCAATTGTATTTTTAGCCAGGAAGCAAGTTTGATTAGTAGAGATTAAATGATTCAAGTTAGTAAGGTGAATTAACTGATGAGAGAACAGTCTCTCTGGTGACAAATACATTCGATTTGCTGAAGAGACAGAGCCAAGGTGAGATTCTAGTTACAATTATTCCCACCAATGGCAATTGCCCTGTGGATCCTGTTGTGAGAGAACTATCTTAGGTTTGCTCTTTTTTTTTTGGTACTGGGGATCGAACTCAGGTCCTTGTGCTTGCAAGGCAGGCGGCGGAACCACTGAGCTAAATCCCTCGCCTTATTTGCTCTTAATTATTGTATCTATTTCCCATAAAAGAGCAAAATCGATAGCCAAGAGGTAAAGAAGGTACTGCATTTAGGATCTATTACTGCTGCGCAGCTAAGCCATGACCCACTGAACAGAGCCCAGCTTCGCTCAGACAGGGCTGTCCTTGAACAGGGTCTCCACCCACAGCTCCACAGAAATTCAACAAATAAGGACACCAGCAAAAGGGTAAAAAAATTTAAAGGAGCTTTTTTTTTCTTTTGTTGACTTTACCATTGGAAAACCTATAACATCAATAGCACAGAAAAAACAAAGTTTGGTGTCAGGTAATTTAATATTCCTGTAATTTAATATATAATAAAAGTACTTTAATCTATAATTAATTTCATATACCT